TGGGCAGGCAAACAATTTAATTACGAGCCAGCAACCCGGGGCATTGTGGGACACGGGTTTTTTACCCCTGGGTGTGATTGTGCTGCGGGGAGGCGGCATGAAAATCAGCTTTGTGGCTCCGCACACATMCGACAAAGCGAGCTCTCAGCACGTCTCTAACCCCGCGGAGACGAAAACGGACCGCGAGGAGCGGGACGAAACAGAGGAATAACGCTTTTCTTGCTTCTTGGCTTTCACACAGAAACTGATTCGGATCTCAGAACAGTGAAAGGTATTAACAGCACWGAGAAATTTAAAAAAAACTTGTGTAATTTATTCAACACCATAAGCACAAATGTTTAATAATACAGCAAAATGCAGATAAAGTTTAGGCAAACTGTTTGAATGAAAATAAAACCTATATATTGAAATTGGGCCTAAGYTTTTCGAACTTACCCACTGCAGGGAACGGGATGAACCTCTGCACCAGAAGCCTGGTGGCTGGACTGAGGCTGCTGGCTTTCTGGATTAAAATATTCAGCCCGACCTGAAGGTAAACCACACACACTTACAGTTAGACGGCCTGTTTTAATAGCAGTGCAGGCACTACATTTCTGGGCTGTTTTCTGRTAGGATAATTAAAGGGAGAAAAACATTCAGTGTTGGCTCTAAACCAGATAAATCAGGGTGTGCMTTAATTTGTTAAAGTGGTATAGATGTTCTGATCAAACACCAAAAYGAAACTTCAGCCTCTCCGCAGCCCTGCTGGGGGTTGTCTCCTGAATGGACGTTTAATTGGAGAGCTCCTGAATGCCCACCACCACCCCCCAGCCTGTCGTTCCTCCCTCCAGGCTCCCTGCCATTTTTTTTCCTGTGCTTGCTGTCATTGTCAGGCCTGAGGCTATCAGCCGGATGACGCCCAGCAGGACCAGTAATTGGCCCAGTTTGAGGTCTTTGTGCGTGAACGAGTTTTTCTTCCCGGGCAGGTGTGTAGAAGTTTATTATACGAACATTTAAAGCCCTGATGACATGGAAGTCAAAAATACTGAAACAATACTTTGATGATTGATGATTATATTTAACTTGTTTGTATTTTTTAGGGGGGATTCCTGGGCTTTTGTTGTTGTTGGGTTTGCAGTGAGGCCAGTGAGACCATGATCCTGAACTTTGCAAATGAAAAAAAAAACTTTAAATAACATCTCAGACTTWACAAATTTTATATTGTTTGCAACACAAAAGTAAGTGGCATCTAGTTTAATTTKTTAACTCAACTGTTGTTGGTTTCTTCTACGATAAAACATTACAGTAATTCCTCAACTCATCAGAGAACCAAACCAAGACGGAGTCTCGTCTATTAATGCAGGAATGTTTAAAAAAAAATAAGGTCCATATTAACAACAGTACCAAATGTTGATTAGGAAACGTGTAGATTTTTCTTTAGGGATTAGTAAAGACAAATATTTAAATGTGAACCAAAAACAACCCTAAAAGGAGCAATACTGGGAAAAAAATACTGGAAATCCCTTTTCAACRATCTTAACTAAAATAAAATCTAAGAAATAAAGAATCTTTAGAGCCAAAAGGTAAACTGGAAATGAGAGCACATATTTAAAATTAGAAATGTTTTTAAATAACCTTCAGCACAGCTTCATAACAGTGTAGTTTTAGGTTAACAACAGTGATGGGCATAGTAGGTAAGTAAGTAAGTAAGTAAGTAAGTAAGTAAGTAAGTAAGTAAGTAAGTAAGTAAGTAAGTAAGT